ATCTCTTTCAGTCAGTGTTCACTCTTGGCAAATAGCTGGAGTAGTCCCTTAGTGTTTTCCCATGCGATGCTTGGTTAAATTCTGTCCTTCTGCTCAATGGACTGGATTGAAATTCTTGACCACGCCTCCTGGTCTCCTGGTATCACCAGGTTTTCAATTCAGTCCATTGCCCATTAGGACGTTTTTTTAGTCTCTCCAGAGACTTTTCTTCATTTTATTACCTGTATCTTTTACAAGCATTTGGTTCCATTTTATTCCTTATTTGTTCCTTGCCTAGACCTTTTTTCCTTCTAGCAGCATTAAGTTCCTTTACCTCTCTGCATCGCAACAGAGAGGCTTGGCCCTCCAGGTGTCCTAGGGTAATCCGGGCACTGGGAGCTACTAGCCAGCTGGCTCTCTATTGCTGGGGTTTGTCCGTCAGGCAATCCGTGCAGCGAGATGCCAAAGTCTTCAGTGGAGGTGAGCTTCCAGAGCGGAGTGACAGCCGGCTTTTCCATCCACAGCAGAGGCAACGTGATGCTTCCCTGAGCGCCGCCATCTTGCACCGCCCCCTTATGACGACTATTTTCGAGCGGCAAAGTTTCCTGCCATTTGCACAATTGCCGCATTTTCTCAGTGGCGGTTGGAGAGAGACAGGACGGCGATCAGAGCGCTCTCTTGAAGCAGCGAGGATTTGGGGCTATTTCGGATGTTTCTCTGGCCAAGGTCACCCTCCACGTCAAGCCTTTCAATCTCTGGTGCACTCCTTCACAATCCTCTTCCCCCGGCAGTGTTATATTGTGTTCCATTGGCGCATGCTTGCCCTGCTTCCCAGTGAATTGCCAATAGTCACTCTACTTGCCAGATCTCTACCTGACGACTGCAGAAGCCGACTATCACCATGGCGGATGAGATCTCCGTGGACCCCCTTCCGACAGGCCAGTCTTCCAATCTGAAGGGGCCCTATCTCAGGAAGGCGGGCAGGGCTGCTAGGGAAGCCATTGGGGAGACCAAGACCAGCAAGCCTTATTCCAAGAAGCCATCTAAGGTGCAGGAAAAGGATGCTTCCAGGCGCCAGAAGGCCCTGGAAAAAGAATTCGCAAAGGCCCAAAGGCAGATAGTGGCACAAGTCCATCAGCCAGGAAGCCCTATTGGTCAGGATCCAGTTGGGAGGCCCTCTCCTCCTGCTATCTCTGAGAGTAGGGTTTTTTCCAGACAGATTTCTCTCTCCGGGGGGTCCAGGTCCCCTTTCCCCTCCCTGGGGGGGGGGGTGCGGAGCTATTTGAGTGCGACCTACTTTCTGATAGGGAGGGTTCTCCTCCTCCTGTTATTTTGGCCAGGGATCCCACTCTCAGGCCTACTGTGGCAGGGACCCACCCAGTAGAAGACCTGGGCCCAGGCCTCTCAGCAGAAATGAGAGAGGTGACTGCTACAGCAATCTCTAAGGTGATAGCTGAGGGCCTCCAAAGGCACGAGGCACAACCACAGGTTCCACAGCCAGCTTCTCCCATTGCTCAGTCCGCTGCAGCACTTCAGGCCCCTCTAGCTCTGCAGCCCCCTCAGGGCCCTGGCCTGCCCCCACAGGCCTTCATCTCCGCCCCCATCGGTGGCCAGTGCTGAATCAGTTTGGGACGATAAGGATGTGGGGGGTCATGACTTATCGGATGATGAGAACCCCATTCCAGATAAATCAGCCTTTGCGGGATTGTTTCAACCATCCCTGTTCAAAACCATCCTGTTCAAGGCCAAAATGTCCACCCACATGGAGGTGGTAGTGCCTCCGGATCAGGCAGCCACGGATCCCATGGATCACAGTAAAGGCCTGTTAAATGAGAAGGTCCCTGCTCAGGAAATTGTCCCTTCTCCCACACTCTTTAAAGATGTAGTCCAATGCCACGGGGTCCAACCTGGGACCCTGACCATCCCTGGCGGTAATGACAAATGCCTTTACTCAGTGGATCCTACCATGGAAGATCTTCTTAAGCTCCCTTCCGTTGATCCTCCAGTTCAAGCTCTCACTTCCTCTTCAGTGCTCCCACCGGACCTTCTAGAGGGACTTAAGGCGGAGGACAAAAGAGCTGAAGGGGCTTTTCACAAAACCCATCAAGGCACAGTTTGGCCCATTACAGCGGCCACCTCTGTCTCATTCTTCAATAGGGCCATGATTGCCTCGCTTTGCCAGTTATTCACTAGGCTCCCGGCAGGGGACGCTAGACTGCAGCATGACATAAACAAAATTGCAGCCACGTGGAATATTCTGCAGATGCCACCCTTAATGTGTTGAAGTTTGCTTTGCACGCCATGGCCTCTAATGTCACCTCTTGTAGCCTTTTATGGCTACGCCACTGGAACACAGATATGTGTTCAAAGTGGAAGATTGCTTCCGCTCCCTTTAAAGGAAGCAAGTTATTTGGGGAGGCCCTTGACTCAGTTTTAGTTGAGAACAAAGATAAGTGGAAGATGATGCCCACGGTTTCCAGGAAACCGGACCACAGGTCATCCTCCTTCTCCTGCAGGCAGGCTTCTCGCCCAGCTGATCCTCTGAACAACAACTCCTCCTTTCAGCATTCCTATGCTCAAGGGACAGATCGCAATCAGGTTCGACAGCCATTTTGGGACAGGGCCCGTCAGCAGCCCTACTCCCAGTGTCTCTTTCGGGGAGGGTTTGGAAACAAGCCCTTCTGTTGGAACAAGTGACCACCATCCCAATCCTCTCATAGGGGCAAAGCTCCAACTCTTTGCCACCCAGTGGGTGGAGATTACCTCAGACACATGGGTGCTCCAAACAATTCGGATAGGCCTCACTCTGGAATTCCTCTCCCCCCTGTCCACGCCACTTCATTCATTGCCCGAATCCCAGATGCCCCACCAAGAGGGGTCTCATGGAAGCCGAGATCCATCACCTTAAATAGATCAGGGCCATAGAAACAGTTCCCCCAGGGCAAGAACGCAGGGGATTCTATTCCATTCTTTTTCTAGTGCCCAAAAGCTTGGGGGTGGGGTGGGGTGGAGAGCGATACTAGATTTAAAGGAACTGAACCATTATGTAGCCTACAAAAAGTTCAAAATGCAGTCCCTCCAATCCATCTTGGGCTGCATTTGTCAAGGGGAGTTCCTAACATCAATGGACTTGAAGGGGGCATACATCCATGTCCCTATCATGCACTACCTTAGATTCTTCTACGCTGGGACCCACTTTCAGTACAGGGCTTTTCCATTCGACCTGTCGTCAGCCCCAAGGATGTTTACGAAGATCCTGTCTGTGGTCGCTGCCCACGTAAGGTCATGACCGATCTGCCTACAGTGTTACCTAGACGACATCTTGATTCTGTCGTCATTGCCGGTGCAAACAACACGAGATCTACACATCACCATTCAGACGTTGTGGAATCACGGTTTTACCATCAACCTCGAAAAGAGCCACCTGACTCCAGTCACCAAGATTCGACACCTGGGGACTGTGATGGACACTTCATCTTGCCAAGTCTTCCTGTCACCGGACTGCGTCGAAAGTCTCTGAGAACTGGTCCAAAAGGTTCGCCTCTCCCCCAGCACTCGCATTGTCATCCTGTCACAATTGCTGGGGAAGATGATCTCGTGTCTCGTGTCTCTCGATTTTCCTTGGGAGAGACTCCATACGAGAGATCTGCAATGGTTTCTCCTGCCAATGCAGAGAGCGAAGACCAGCAATTCACCGGTCAAGGTACGTCTACCCACCAAAGTCATTCGTTCTTTCCGGTGGTGGCTTTCACCAGCCCTCCTGAAAGGGACTTACTTCAAGGAACCACCCAGATTGACCGTCACAACCGATGCCATCCTCTTCGGCTGGGGAACTCACTTGCACTCCCTAGTGGCTCAAGGACAGTGGTCAGCTCGCGATCTCTCACACAACATCAATTGGTTGGAGCTGAGGGTGGTCAGAGTAGCGCTTCGCAAGTTCCAGCACTGCAACCAAAACCACCATGTCCTTGTCCTCACCGACAATATGGAAACAAAGGCGCACATAAATTGCCAAAGGGGTACCAGGTCCCAGTCCCTCATGACGGAGGCAAAGGTGATTGGTCGATGGGCAGAACGTCACCTACAATCCATCTGGGTGGATTACATCTCTGGAGTGAACAATGTCCAGGCGGACTGGCTGAGCTGCACCAGACTAGATAACTTTGAGTGGTGCTTCCATCCGCGCCTCTTTCACCAATTATGTCAGAGGTTCAGTCATCCCCTCGTCAACTTATTCGCCACTCCGGAGAATGCTCCGCTCCCCTGATTTTTCACCAGATTCCAATGTCCCTGGATGGAAGGGGTCAACACCCAATAAATTTCTTGAGGTTCTTGTGGTGGCTCCATACTGGCCCCGACAGACTTGGTTTGCCAATCTGACGTGCCTGTCCATTGCACATCCCTGGAGGATTCCTCAGGAGTCGGTCTCTCTCAGCCAGGGAGTGGTTACTCTTTGTTATTCCCATCCTTGGACATTTCTTTGCTTGGGTATGTCCCTTGCTTGGACTCTCCAAGCAGCGCACGGGAAAATGACCATTGGCATTTGAACACTGAAGGGTCCTTTTCCGTGCGCTGCGGGAGAGTCCAATACCGTCCGGAAGTTATCTTCTTTCCATCAGAGTTATTCTTTTCATCTGTGGACATTGTTTAGAAGGATGGAACATAGACATTAACTTGACATTGACTTACCTTTCGGGATCATGCCTTCATTGAAAAACTGAAGATATCGGGAGACCAAGAGCGTGGTAAAGAATTTCAATCCAGTCCATTGGGCAGAAGGACAGAATTTAACCCTTGCTTGGAATCTCCCGGAGCGCACAGAAAATGACCCTTCAGGTAAGCCAATGGTCATTCTGCTCAAGATTTTGGAAACAGTTTGCTTTTGCCTATTTTCCAGAGCTAAGAAAGAGTGACTGGCTCGATGTCCTATGTTATAATACATGAGGATGACCTTGAAGGACAAGGGGATGCTGCCTTGGAAACAATTTGGCAAAAAAATAGGGGAGGTGGGATTCCAAGTGGTTGAATTGAGGAGGAAGAGGAAGAAATTTAGAAAAGACTGTCCTAGTTGATCATGCAGTGAAATGTGGCAATGGGAAATTTGTACTCAGATTTGCAAGATTCTATTAATGCACAATGGACATGGACAATATAAGACAAAATCAAGAGAGCAATTGACAGCAGAGGGATTTAGTTTTTAATGGTTTTGTATGATCATTTAAAAGAAGGATTTAAGGTAGATAATAGGACAGCAGAAGACAGAACTGTAAGTTGAACTTGCATTGTAAATTGATGGACACTTTGCCGTTCTGTTGGAAAGTTAATATATTCAATCATATTGTATGTCCTTTCCAGAGAGAGGAAAAGCAGCTTGAGCTGTCCCTGGAAACTCTTATCAGTCAAGTGGCTGACCTGAAGAACTCCTTGGTCAATTTCATTTACAAGCTGGAGAATGAATATGACCGTCTCACTTGGTAAGGTTTCATAGCCAGCTGGTACTGATGGGAGGGGACAGTATTTTATGTAACATTTCACCTAATTTAGGATACCTGCCAACATACATTGAATTCTATATGCTGCAATTCAAAACTTAATCGTTCCTAGTTCCCAGTTTATTTGGAGAATAAAGCAAACTTTCTGGTTTCAGGATGTAACCACCTGTTATGTTTTTAGGAAACCCTTTACTTCCTTCCTTTTTCATCTTTATGTGAGTTTCATGAAAGTGGCAATTATTCTGGAATAAATATTCAAAGGTTCAGGCTGTAAAACAAATGAAACTAATGTTTTGCTTGATCCATAATTATTATTGTGATCAATAATAACAATTAACAATTGTTAATACTTAATTATTATTAACAATTATTCTTTGTTTTGGAACATTTTTAAAATATAAAAATATAAAATCAGTATACTTGCTCAGAATTCACTGGGCTTTGAACAAGCAGCATTTTTAATTTTTTGATCTAACAAGATGATCAAAGTTAGATTTGTTTGGCGCTACCCAGTATTCACATTAAGATCTGTCTTTCTATTAAGATCTTTTTGAAAATGCCCTGGTTGGAAAAGGCTCATTTATCTGACACACAGCAAAAGGCATTCTCGTGTATTGCAACAAAAAAAGCATAAAATGAACTTCCCCAGAATCAGTGTTTGGTACAAGGAGCTCTTTAAAAAATAGTTAAGACATATTTCTTCACCAAAATTGTCATTGTCAATGCTTTCATTGGTTTTAATTTGCCTTTGAATTTCTACGTTTTATGTTTTGAATTTAATTGTAAGCTGCCTTGAATGTGTAGAAACCAGAATATATATTGTATAACTAAATATTCCTTATAGGAAAATCTGTACATGACATCTCTTAGAATTAGAGTGGTTATGCTCAATGAGTTCTATTTCTTTGATACAGCATTATGATCTAAAGAGTAATTTAATTCCTCAAACATATCCACAAATGTCCTTTTGATATAATTCTCGTATTTCTTTTTCCATTTTTCTGCCTTAGGCCTTCCGTGCTAGATAGTTTTGCTCTGCTCTCGGGGCAGCTTAATACTCTGAACAAAGTGCTGAAGCATGAGAAAACTCCACTGTTGCGCAATCAGGTTATTATCCCATTAGTGTTATCGCCAGATCGGGATGAAGAGATAATGGTAAGAATTTGACTCAGTTTGTACCTTTTCTTGACCACTATAGTTATTTTTTAGTTTTAGGAGAAAATAAGATACAGGTAGTCATCAACTTGCAACCACAGTTGAGTCCAAAATTTCCCTTGCTAAGCAAAACAGTTGTTAAATGAGTTTTGCCTTTTCATATCACAGCTCAATCACTGCAGTTGTTAAGTTAGTAATGTGGTGATTGAGTCTGGCTTTCCCATTGACTTTGCTTGTAAGAAAGTTGCAGAAAGTGATCACGTAATCCCAGATACTGCAACTGTCACATAAACACATTCCGGTTGCTAATTTTTAACTTCAAACAGTCACAAAACAAATGGCTATAAGTCAACTATGTGTACTGAACAATGAATCTTTTATCAGTGAGGAAAAAGTTGAGTGAATAATGTAAAGCTTGCAAAAGTTCACAAAGACAAATATATAGAAGGAATAAGAAACCAAGAGAATTGTTCTTTTCCAGAGTGGGAGGAGGGAATGGTCACATGTGGGTTTTATCACAGCCTGATTGGTCCAAGACTCAGAGAAAATCTATAAATCTATAAATACTGGTGCCTGTCCACTGCTAACCCAGATTCTCTCTCAGTCTGGTCCAAGTTCTGTTAGAGCAGTTTGGTGTAGGTAGGATTCCTTGTTTTTTTTTTGGTGAGTTTTTCTTCAATCTGGTTTCTATTTGGCTAATTGGACACCTTTAAATTCTTTTACAAACTCCAAATTGTCCTGCTGCGGCCCCAAGGGACAGATCTCTGCCTCGGGCGGCTGGGGGAGGGCCCTGTGGGGCAGTTCTCTCCCCCCCGCAGGCCAGGAGCCTCAGCCCGANTATAAATACTGGTGCCTGTCCACTGCTAGCCCAGATTCTCTCAGTCTGGTCCAAGTACTGTTAGAGTAGTGTGTAGGTATAATTTTTCTTTCTTTTGTTAGTATTTGCAATCTGGTTTCCATTTGGCTAATTGGGCACTTTAAAATTCTTTCCAAAATCTAAATTGTACTGCTGCGGCCCCAAGGGACAGATCTCTGCCTGGGGCGGCTGGGGGAGGGCCCTGTGGGGCGTTTACTCTACCCCCCGCAGGCCAGGAGCCTCAGCCCTATCCCCGGGAGTGCGGGGGTGCCAGCTCCTTTTTCTGCTGCTTCAGAAGCAGCCCGTTTGCAGCAGCGGCGGCAGGAGCGGCTTCGGAGCCTCGTGGAGCGCGCAAGCCGCCCTCTTCACAGCTGATTGCTCGGGTGGCTGCCGCGCCGCCGGATCACTTTAAAATTGCCGTGGGGACGGAGCGGGGGTGAGGAGACCGTGCGTGGGTGCCGTGTGGCTCTCCCTGTCTCATTTTTAGCGCGGCGCCGGCTCTAGAAGCCCAGCTGAGCCGTTGGAATTTGGTTGCCAGCCCTTTCTCCCACGCACGGAGTTCTGGCGGCCATTTTTAGTGGCTGCCACGTGCGCGGGGCCTTGTTTCATCCTGCCTCTTAAGTGAGGCCTAGCACGAGGCCTTGGGCCTAGGTCTCCCCACAGGCCTTCAGACCCTGGTTCTGGTGGGACTTTTGGAGGCCTGGTTCCTGCTCCCTTCGTCGGACACGTGAGTGGGGAATGGAGGAGGGAGCGGAGATTCCCCAGGGCCAGATGGCAGGCCCAGCTGGGGGTGATGAGGCCCTGGATCAGGAGATGGGACGGGGGGTTCCCCCCCCCCCCCAGGGATCCTTGACCACTAGGCGCCCTTCTAGGTCCTCCACTAGGGAGGAGGCCAGGCGGCATGGGGCCCTGGAGAAGACCTTTGCCAGGGCAGAGAGGCAGGCCCAGTCTACCAGGCCTTCATCCAGGGACAGGTCCAGGTCTCCCCTTGGGCCTATATCCAGCAGGTCTTCCCCTAGGGGATTTAGCCCGGCGTCTTCCTCTAGCTCCCCTGGGGCCCTGGCAGGCTTCGGGCCTACTCCAGGAGGAGACGTTCTCCATCCCCTGTAGATGATCCCCTGGAGGGTACGTCCAGGGGCCCCTGCCCTGTTCCTCCCAAAGGTTGGCTCCCCAGGGGCCTGCTTCTGTTTATGGGGATGTGGAGGATCTGGATAATCTCCCTGAAGGAATTAAAAGACTTATTTCTGCAGCCATTACACGGGGCATCGCCCAACGGGACAAGGGCTCCCTCTCTTCTAAGCATGGGGGGCTAGGCAGGGTTCAGTATCGGGCTTCCTCTCCTTCCATGGTCAGTGAGGCTTCATTCTTGGGGGGGGAGTTTCCCCAGGAGATGGGCTTCTCAGATGATGAGAATACTGCCATTTCTGATGAGCCCTCTTCCAAGGGCCTTTTTGTGCCGGCCATGTTTAAAACACTCTTGGACAAGGCGAGGCAGACCACTAAGGTCGGGACTGGGGACCCTTCAGTGCCCCCCCCTAGGGATCCTGATATGGCCATGTTTTCTACCACGGCCACCAACAAGGAGGAGATCCCTGCCCCTCCCCTGTTTTTGGAGGTTCTGACTGACCAGTGGGCTCGCCCCTCCAACTTCTCAGCTCCTGGCAGTAATGACCGCCAGCATTATAACGTTGAACAGACCTTTGCTCAGGCCATTCAGCTACCAACCATTGACACACCTGTGGCCGCCCTAGTCTCCTCCTCCCCGGTGGTTTCGGGCGATGCGGCGGATAAGATGAAGCCGGAAGATAAGCGGGCAGAGCTTACCTTGCGGAAGAATTTTAACGCCACGGCGTGGGCTATTAAGTCGGCGGCCTCGGCTTCCTACTTTAACCGTGCCACTGTCATGTGGCTCAAGAAGCTTCAGGAGCGCATCCCCATCCAGGATGACCGGCTCCATCAAGATCTGTTCAAGATCATGGCAGCTTGTCAGTTCTCGGCTGATGCGACCTTGGATACGGTCAAGTTTGCTTCCAGTGCCTTGGCCACCTCTGTCACCTCCCGTAGACTTCTATGGTTGCGCCACTGGCAGATGGACAACAAGGCAAAATGGGATTTGGCGGCCACCCCCTTTAAAGGGCCCAATCTTTTCGGGGAGGCCCTTACTCCCATTCTGGTGGAGGATAAGGACAAAAAGAAGGTCCTTCCTTCCACAGCTAAGAAGGCTGAGACTAAGTCACGTCCTTTCCGTAGGCAACGGTATCGGGCTCATGATTATGGCTATAACCAACACTTTTCTTCCTTCCCTCCTGACAGACAGTTCTCCGGGCAGTCCTTTCAGGACAGGAATCGCTTCCAGGGCCAGTCTCGGCGGCCCTTTCATGGAGGAGGCGGCCGTCCCTACCGCAGAGGGAAGTGACTCGAACCCGAGTCGTCCCATCGGCGGCCGCCTCTCCCTCTATGCGGATCGATGGGACGAGATCACGTTGGACTCCTGGGTCCGAGCCACGGTTCGTCACGGGCTCAGGTTAGAATTTCTCTCTACTCCTCCAAACCTCTTCCAGTCGTTCCCTCTGTCTCGGAGTCGGGAGCGCCGCCGCCTGATGGATCAGGCGATCGCCCACCTCCTCGAAATTCAAGCGGTGGAGGCGGTTCCCCCAGGGGAACGAGGCCTGGGCCACTACTCCAATCTCTTCGTGGTCCCGAAGAGCACGGGGGGCTGGAGAGCAATTCTAGACCTCAAGCGCCTGAACAGATTCCTGGTGTACAGGCGCTTCAAAATGTCATCCCTCAAATCTATCCTTCAGGGCATCAGAAAAGGGGATTTCCTGGCTTCCGTGGACCTCATGGATGCCTATCTTCACATTCCCATCCTGCCCGCTCATCGCCGGTTCTTGAGGTTCTCTCACAGGTCCCGCCACTACCAGTACAGGGCTCTTCCCTTCGGCCTGGCCTCGGCCCCGCGGACCTTCACGAAGGTCTTGGCGGCTCTGGCGGCTCATCTGCGGTCTGTGCCGGTTTGTCTCCAATGTTATCTAGACGACGTCTTGGTTCAGGCGGGATCCCTCCATCAGGCCGTCTCGGATCTTCGGCTCACCATTCGGAGCCTTCAAGGCCTGGGGTTCTCGGTGAACTTCGCCAAGAGTCATCTTTCTCCATCCACCCACATTCTGCATCTGGGGACAGTCATAGATTCCAGGTTGGGGGTGGTGCGTCTGTCTCAGGAACGGCAGGTCAGCCTCCGTCGTCTGGCGCAGAGCGTTCGCGTAAGGCGGTCCACTTCCATCCTCTCTCTGTCACAGTTATTGGGCAAGATGGTCTCTTGCATCGGGATTGTTCCGTGGGCCAGGCTTCATCTCCGGCCCCTTCAGTGGGAACTCATCCCCTTCCAGAGGGGACGCCTGAGCAATTCTCTTCGGACTCTCCGTCTCCCGGCGGGAGTCCGCGTCTCTCTGGCGTGGTGGCTGTCCCCGGCCATTCAGCGGGGTTGCTGCTTCTGGGAGCCGGACAGGGTGACCGTCACCACGGACGCGAGTCTGTTCGGGTGGGGGGTCCTAGTGGGCTCCCGGATGTCGCAGGGCAGATGGACAGCCTCGGACCTCCGCCACAACATCAATTGGCTGGAGCTGAAGGCTGCGCGACTGGCTCTGCGTCACTTCCGCTCCTCGGTGGAGGGGCGTCATGTTCTACTCCTGACGGACAATGTTGCCACCAAGGCACACATCAATCGTCAAGGTGGGACCCACTCGCGGGCTCTCTGGTTGGAGGCCCTGCAGTTGGGATCCTGGGCGGAGAGACACCTGCAGTCCCTGGTGTCGGAGCACATCTCGGGGCTCTCCAACGTCCAAGTGGACTGGCTCAGTCGAGCAACTCTGGACAACGGCGAGTGGCGGCTCCACCCGTCGTTGTTCCGGAAGATTTGTCAACGATTCGGGTCCCCTCGGGTGGACCTGTTTGCGTCTCCTGAAAACTCCCAGCTCCCACGGTTCTTCACCCGTTTCCAGTCCAGGTCGGCGGAGGGCACGGATGCCCTCAGGAGCCGGTGGCCCCCGGGCCTTCTATATACCTTCCCTCCCATTCCACTCATCCCAGGGACCGTCAGGAAGGTGGTGGCGGAAGGGGCCTTGGTCATTCTGGTGGTCCTGTTTTGGCCCAGGAGACCATGGTTCGCGGACCTGGTACAGCTGTCGATGGCTCCCCCGTGGAGGATTCCGCAGGGGGAAGTGGTCTTGCGACAGGGGGCTCTGGTTCACCCGGAGCCTCAGTGGCTCCAGCTGACCACATGGCTCTTGAACGGCGGCTTCTGAGGGGGGCTCATCTGTCTTCCGGGGTCATTCACACCATCGAGGCGGCCCGGCGTCCGTCGACGACCCGCATTTATAACTCCACCTGGGCGGCTTTCGTCCAATGGTGCTCTCCTAGGGGCATTTCTCCCGATAGGGCCACCATTCCCAACGTCTTGGATTTCCTTCAGAAAGGTCTTGAGGACGGGCTTTCGCAGAATACCTTGCGTCGCCAGGTGGCAGCTCTGTCTTTGGTCCTGGGGGGGGGCAGGGTCTTCTTCCCTTTCCCAGTTACCGCTGATCAAGCTTTTCCTGAAGGGGGCGGCTAATCTCAGACCTCCCCACATTCACAGGTTCCCCATGTGGGATCTTCCCCTGGTCCTCAGGGCATTGACGGGAGCCCCGTTTGAGCCCCTCCGCTCAGTT